TTTTTTTACATGCTTTAACTACTGTGGCTTAGTGGTTCGCAAAAAAATTTAATAAAAATGTCCCCTTGACAGACTTTTTAATATACCCCAGCTTCAGAGGTCACAACACATCCCATATGCTCTGATACAAAGTGTTCTGCGATCTTAAAATGATCTTGTGAAAATCCGTTAGAGCAGTAACAGCCACCTTGCCAGTAACTAACACCGTTTTGATGTCATCTGTTTGAATACAGAGAGATGCCTGGAAGATCATGAACTGGTTGTTCCTGTGCAGGCCTACATGTCTCCGGAGAGCAAGTTTCTCTTCAGGAAGAACTACGCCAAGTACGAGTTCTTCAGAAACCCACTGGTGAGTTGTCACAGAGAACAACTGTTTTCCTTCAGCCCACCCATGTGTTTCCTTGCCTCTCAAGACTACCACTTCAAGCTTAAATCCTTTGAAATTAAAGTCCGATTATCCTCGAAAATCTTGCCAAGAACACTTGATTCATGACCTGTGAGCTATAAATCCCTTAAATATGTAAATATCTCCAAAAAACGTCATGTTCCCACATTCCTGTTTTCCATATGCGAGAAAAACCTCCTTGTTAATCCATTTCCAGCCATTCAAGCACAGCTTGCACGTGTTCCACCTCACTAAGCACGTAACCTGCTTTTTTCTTATAAGCCAGTACTCAACACCTTTTAACTGATGGCATTTTGACAAGTACATTTGAATGTGTCGTATAAGCATCTTACGGTGTGAACACTGTGAAACATTTTATCCTGCTTTTTGTAAGCCATGGACTTTTTGTATGCTTGGAAAAAATGTTGATGCAAAAGCTTAATCTTATTTGAGCCTCTGCTTTAGTACGGTATGTAGTGTGTGCCAGCACTTGAGGCATCTTTGGGCCGGTTAGTCCGAGTCTGTTTTGACAGAGCACTTAACCTGCTCTTGGTAATCCGTGGCTTTGGCAAATGCTTAGTGCAACTCACCTAAATTAGCTTTAGATGAGTTTCAGCTTGTGTGTGTGCTTGAATTCATGCATGTTTCTTACCATGATCCTCTAACTCAACTGTTAAAGAGTCACGCCTCGATTTACTGGTTGTTCAAAAATTGAGTTGTTGATTTGTGTGATCAGCTAATCTATTTATTACTCACCTAAATGAATAATTATAGTTAATTGTGTGTGTGTG